CTAATTCCCTCATTACACAAGCGTATAAATTTATTTGTCTTTTTTTTGTGAGTGTATTCTGTGTACCATATAATGGGTGTGTGAAATCATCCATTCGTCTGTGTCTCTGGGTTGCAATGTTTTATGCAATGAAATCAATGGATGTAAATGTTGCTTTATGGGCGTAGGAAGGTGGGAGTGTGTGTGTGGGGGGGGGGTAGTGACTAAGGGGGGAGGGGGGGTTAAATCAATGACGAGCAAGAAGGGGAAAGAATTATATTGAGAAAGGTAGGTGTGGTTGATAAATGATAGAGAGAGTAAAAGCGATAATTACCCTTTATACGAAGCGGGACTAATGAAGGAAAAACGAAAATAAAAAAATAAATAAAGAGAGGCCATAAATAAAGTAAAGAAAGAATGAAAGAAAGAAAGAAAGAGGAGGAAAAAAATAAATAACAAAGGAACAAAAACAACAACAAAAACAAGAAGAAAGGAAGAGAAAAAAATAATAATAATGATAAATAAATGATAATAAATAATATAAAGAAAAATAAAAAGAGCAAAACAAGGAACAGAAAAGAGAAAGAAAAAAAGGAATCAGAAAGAGAGAAAGAAGAAATAGAAATAAAAAAATTGACAAAAGGAGGAAAGAAAAAAAGAAAAATAATCCATAAGAAAAAGACACGAAAAAAAGGAAACAAGACACGAAAGAAGAAAATACAATTAATAAAAGAGAGAAAAAAGACAAAAAATAAAGAAATAAGATTTTAAAAAGAAATAAAAGAAGACAGAAAAAATAATAATAATAATAACGAAAATAGATAAATAAATAATAGATAAATAGATACATAAATAAATTCACGAAAACAGAAAAAACTCTCGCTAAAATATCCTCAAAGATTTCTCGATCGTCTCCTGCGTGTCGCTTCTGATCCGCAACGTCTGGGAAAACCAACCAATCAGAACCGATCTTCCTCTCTATCTCTCTTCTCATTGGTTGAATTGAAGAGAGAGAGGGGGGAGAGAGGAAGGGAGGCAGGGAGGGAGAGAGAGAGGGGGAGAGGGAAAGAGAGAGGGGGGAGGAGAGGGGGGGAGAGAAAGAGAAAGAGGGAGAGAGAGAGAGAGAGATTAGAAACAGAGAGAGAGAGAGAGAGAAACAGAGAGAGAGAGAGAGAGAGGGGAGGAGAGGGATGGAGAGGGAGAGAGAGAGAGAGAGAGAGAGAGAAAGAAAGAGAGAGAGAGAGAGAAAGAAAGAAAGAGAGAGAGAGAGAGACAGATAGACAAGATCTGTTCTATGGTCATTACCTATTATTATCGCTAATTACCGTATTTTATCGGTTCCTTATCTAGCATTGCAATTATTCTCTCTTGTGAATAGAATTAATCTAACATTATTGCCGTTTTTATTGCATTAAATTAATGTTTAGATTTATGAACGGTACTAATATAGTACTATATTGATAATGATAATGATGATTATACAAGTAATAATGATGATCATGATGATGTTGATAATAATTGTGATAATGACAATAATAATGATGATTGTTATGATGATGATAATGATAATGATAATGAAATGATGATAATGATAATAATAATAATAATAGTAATGATAACAATAATGATAATGATAATAATAATGATAATAATAATAATAATAGTATATAATATATAATATAATATAATAATGAAATGCTGTTAATGATAATAATAATGATAATGGTAATGATAATAACAATGATAATAACAATAGTAATAATGATAATAATAATATCAAAAATAAAAATAGTAATTACTATGATGATAACAATAATAATAATATTAATAATGATAATAATAATAATTATAACAGTAATAATAATGGTAATTTTTATAATGATTATTATAATGTTGATGATAATAAGGATAGTAATTATGATAATGAAATGGTTAATACTAATAATGGTAATAAGAATAATAACAATAATGATAATGATAATGTTAATAATAACATGATAATGATTATGATATTAATAATCATAATGATAGTAATAATCAAAATAATAATGATAATAATAACAATGATAACATCGATAATAATAATAACAATAATGATGGCAATAATAATGATATTAGAAATAATAATAACAATAATAATAACTGATAATGATAATACCAATAATATTACTAATAAAAATAACAATAATGATGATGATAATAGAAATAATGGTATTAAACATTATTATGAATTTGTCATTATCGTTATTATTATCATCATTATTACTAAAATACTGCTAATAACAGTGATAATAAAGATAATTATAAAGATAACAATAACAATGATAGAAATAGTAATAACAATGATAATGATCGTGGTAATAATAATAAAGATGACAATAACGATAACAATAGTAACAATGATAATAATGTTAAATAGTAATAAATAGGAAAATTAAAGACAACAAAGATAATTTCAAATCTACGAGAATATTCGTCCTCTAAAGCAGTTAAATTAAACGTTAACTTGTTGTGAAATTCGATAATAAGAGAAAATGACAACAGATTTTTCTTAGATGTTAAAGAGCAGACCGGTTGAGTAGAGAAAAATTCATACCATAATTTTTTTATTTTCTTCTGAAGGTGGTCGTTAATAAGTCGTTTTAAACTCATTAACTTTCGTATCAGTTAGCGTGAAGCGTTAAAAAATAAAATGAAAAGGAAATATTCTTGTAGATATCGCAGACTGAATAAATATTTGATGTTTGTTTTTTTGTTTTTTATCAGAGTCGTGGAAGTTTGTACTTTTGTCCGTGATAATTTCGTATGAGTCAGCGTGATGCGTGTTAAAAAAATAAGTGAATAAATAAAAAAAGTGTGTGTGTGAGAGAGAGAGAGAGAGAGAGAGAGAGAGAGAGAGAGAGAGAGAGAGAGAGAGAGGAGGGTTGAGAGAGAGAGGGGGAGAGAGAGAGAGAGAGAGAGAGAGAGAGAGAGAGAGAGAGAGAGAGAGAGAAACAAAGAAAGTGAGAGAGAGAAACAAAGAAAGTGAGAGAGAAAGGGGGAGAGAAAGAGTGAAAGAGAGAAAGAGAGAGAGAAAGTGAGAGAGAGAGAGAGAGAAAGATATAGATATATATAGATAAACATATATTCTTAATCCCTAAAGATCTCGCAAAAATGAATTAATTTTTTTACACGTTTTACACAGTCATGTCAACTTCTACTTTTGCTGGAGATAATTTCGTGTTTATTACTAAACCTTTTATTTCTGGACGTCCATAAAACTCGCCATTATGCAGGGCTTTTGAGAAGGTCATTACCCCCCCCCCTTTATCCCCTTCTATTGGTCATCTCACCTGCTCACGTGACCTTGTTTATCGGGTAAGGGAAAGGGGGGATGTAAACACAGGTCGCGTGTTGACCTTACTTTGCGTTGGGCGTGAGAGAGTCAAGGCCGATTCGGGTATTTAAGTTCCGAGAAAGTTATGAATTGTCGGTTTAAATACTATGTGAATAATAAAAGGGTAGAGTTGATTCGTTTCCAATCTTTTATTCTTCTGATTAGAGAGAAATTGGTCTTGAATAAATTGAATAATTGAGTAAAGCTGATTCCTTTTTTTTAATAGGAGAGAATTTGGTCTCGGTGAATAATTTGGAAATGCTGATTTGTTTCCATTTTTTTAATAGCAAAGAAATTGGTCTTAGTGAATGATTGAGTAAAGAGGATTCTTTTTTTTCTTTTTAATAGCTGAGAAATTGGTTGGTGAATAACTGAGTAAAGCTGATTCTTTTTTTTCAATAAGGGAGAAATTGTTCTTGGTGAATAATTTGGAAAAGCTGATTCGTTCCCTCTTTTTAATAGCAGAGAAATTGGTCTTGGTCAGTATTTGAGTAAAGCTGATTTTTTTTTTTTTTTTTTTTTTAGCAGAGAAATTGGTCTTGATGAATAATTTGGAAAAGCTGATTCGTTTCCATTTATTTTTTATAGCAGAGAAATTGGTCTTAGTGAATAAGTGAGTAAAGCTGATTCGTTTCGATTTTTTTTTTAATAGCTGAGAAATTGGTCTTGGTGAATAATTGAGTAAAACTGATTCTTTTTTTTTGAAAGCTGAGAAATTGGTCTTGATGAATAACTGAGTAAATCTGATTCCTTTTTTTTTTAATAGGAGAGAAATTGGTCTTGGTGAATTTGTTTGTACACACGGGATTAGAGAGAGAAATGAGGAAATAAGAGTGGTTTGGCTTCAACCCTAATTTGCTTTTTTATGACTCGAGAGAATGTGTAAGATGAATATTTTTGTTTCTCCGGGACAGAGGAAAATTGAGAAATTGTTTTCTTTATGTATGTAGAAGCCTATATTTTATCTATATGCATGTAGAAATTTTATGTATGTTATCTTTGTGCGTGCAGATGTTTCTACAGAAAAAGGCTTTTGTATTTGAGTTCATTGACATTCTAAGTATAAAGAATGGACTCTTTTAATTATTTTTTTTTATAATTGATTAAGAATATGTGTCGCGTGATTCTGTTTTCGTTCTATAATTCTTAGTAACATAAAAAAAATATTTATTTGAAGACATAACGATAAATAAGATTGTGGTAATGACAATAACATTATGTAACTTTTAAGAATAAACAAAGAACAATTAATTTTACACATTTTTTTTTTTTATTTACCATATAATTACCAGCAACAGCACCCAAGACATAGAGATAGATAGATAAATGGATAGATATAGAAATTTCTATAGATACAGATATGCGTAAATAGACAGATATAGATATAATCATAAATATTAATACACAAATATAGATAAAGGCATAGATATAAATTAATATATAGATAAAGGCATAGATATAAATTAATATATAGATAAAGGCATAGATATAAATTAATATATAGATAAAGACATAGATATAAATAACAGATATAGATAAAAGATTTAGATACAGGCAGATAGACTTCAAAATATAAACATAATTAAAGATTTAGTCTAAAGATATAGACCCAGATATTACAATCCTTTCCTCTCTTTCTTTTCAGTCATGTACTCTCCTGACGAAGTAGAGTTCTTCTGGCGGCCTTGGTCTCCCGTTCTCATCAACAAGGACCTGAAGTTACTGCAGTTTTCCCTCACGAAACCCCTGAAGAATTCGATCAACCAGTCTACTTCGGATGAGCTCGGGGGTGAATTCCGTAATGATTTTTATTTGTGGTGGTGGTGAGGAGGAGGAGAGGGTGGGGGGGAGGGGGAGGATGGGGATGGGGGTGAGGGTGATGGGGGAAAGAAAAGGGGGAGGGGTGAGGAAAAAAAGGAAGGGGGGAGGGAGGACAAGGTAATAGGAGGGTGATGGGTTGTGGGTGGGGGGAGGAAGATGATGATAGTGATGGTGATGATGAGGAGGAGGAGGAAGAGGAGAAGGAGGAGATGGAGGAAGAGGAAGATAGAGATGAGGATGATAATGAGGAGGAGGAGAAAGACAGAGATGATGATGGAGGATTTTTAATAGTGATGATGACAAGGGAAATGATGGTAGCACTCGCATAAGTAGTAATAACTGCAATAATAAATTTGCTTATGATAGTAATTATATCAAAATTATTAAAACTGTATGATATTAGTGATAATAAGCATGGTCATAATAGTAGTAATAATAGCAAAAACAATTATTAAACTCCTAAAGTAATATATCATCAGTTTTAATAAACACATAATTATAATAGAAACAATTTTATCATATATCAATAGGGATATATATATATATATATATATATATATATATATATATATATATATATATATATATATAAATCATAATCAAATAAACAAATAGTAGTCTAATCACGATAGCAAATGATGGAACATGACAAGTAACTATCAAATCTCAGTCTTAAGTAATAATTTTGAAATATGGAATTGTTTCAGTATATTTCATCTTTAAATACTATAAATAATAAATTACAGTTCACTGACATAATATAAGAACATTTTATAACATTTACATAATATAACAACACAGCACATCACAACATGATACGACACCACAACGGAGCAACACAACACAACAGTACAACACAATAACTTATCATAACATAATAATACAACTCGAAAACACGTCAAAACTTCAAAACCCAACCTAACAACATTATTTTACGACCCTACAACAGAATACAACAACCCAGCAGTATAACACAACAGCATAAGACCATAACATACCATAGCATAATCCCCTACCAACCCCAAAATAGCGTAACACCCTCCCTTTCTTCTCAGCTGGAAACCGGCCGGTGCGTCAGCTGATCGTGGAGTTCCAATTCTCACGCGAGATCGGACACCACCTCGTCCAGACCTTCGTACCTTCGTTCCTCGTGGTGGCTTTGTCCTGGTTCAGCTTCTGGCTCGGTCTAGAGGCCATCCCAGGTCGCGTGACCCTCTTGGTGACCTCGCTTCTCACGCTGACCACACTCTTCACGGGCATTAAGGAGGGGTTGCCTCCTGTGGCGTACGTCAAGGTTGGAGTCCGCTGCTGTTTTTTTTCTGTGTGGATTTTGGGTATAGATATAGATGTAGAATTAGATGTAGACATATATACATATATATGGTTGTAGATGTAATAGTAACGAATGATGATAATGTTTTCTTCTATGGGAGTTTGGATAAAGATGTAGATGCAAATATAGGTATAGATGGAGATGTAAGTATAGATACAAATATAGATGTAGATGAAGATGTATGTATAGATGTAAATACAGATGTACACGCAAAAGACATGTAGATGTAGATATATATATATATATATATATATATATATATATAGAGAGAGAGAGAGAGAGAGAGAGAGAGAGAGAGAGAGAGAGATGTAGATATGTATGTTGATATAGATGTATATATACTTACTGATAGATAGATACGGATGCAGATATAGATGTATATGTAGATCTAAATATAGATGTATATGTAGATATAAATATAGATGTATATGTAGATATAAATATAGATGTATATGTAGATATAAATATAGATGTACATGTAGATATAAATATAGATGTATATGTAGATATAAATATAGATGTATATGTAGATATAAATATAGATGTATATGTAAATATAAATATAGATGTATATGTAGATATAAATATAGATGTATATGTAGATATAAATATAGATGTATATGTAGATATAAATATAGATGTATATGTAGACATGAATATATATGTATATATGGGCATATATATAGATGTGGATGTAGATATAAATGTATAATTTTTTTCTTCTGTGGGGCGTTTGGTTATAAATATTGGTATACATAGATGTAGATGTAGATGTCGACATAGATGTAAATGTAGATGTGTATATAGAGGTAGCTATACATCTCTATCTCTTCCGTCTCTCTCTCTCTTTCTTTCTCTTTCTCTCTCTTTCGTCCTTCATTCCATCTTTTCGCATTATATCCGTCTCCCATTCTCCAGAGTTATCGATGTGTTCTGTGTTCTCTTTTCCATTCATCTCTGTTCCTTCTTTCGCTATTCTCTCCTCCATCCC